ATACATGTGAATTTCCTCCCTCACTTCCCTCCCTGGCTTTCCTTAATCTTTCCTGCCCTGACATTTGTTTCAGAGGTAGGTAAGATTCATGTCACTTTTTATAAATGTTCTTATTCTTCCTTTTTAGAGGCTTTTTAAAAATACATGAGTTGGAGGAGCTCTAAGTTTTCTACTCATTTTTTTCCAGAGTATCAGATCTAAAACATTAAATCTCATTATATAACAGAAAAACCAGGAAAGCTGGGGGCTAGAACATAAAAATTATTGTAATTAGACTGGCAATACAATTTTTTTTAAGTCCATGGCTTTCTATTTTTCTGTCTTGGTAGTTATCTCTAAAAATGGTTAAAGAGATACAATTGAAGAAGAGGTGGCTCTTGCTTCTGAAGTTACTGCTGTTTTAAGGTCTTTAGCAGGGACATCTGTTGGGTTTTTAACAAAGGAAGCCAGAGGGGTTCAAGGGAAAGTGAAGGGATCCACATCTGTTTGGTATTCTCCCATCTGAGAAAGCTCTACTTCTGAAATAGCATGGGTCGCCTAGTTAAAACCCGAATCTAGGAACAGATGAAAGCTTTTCTTTCCTCAACATTTCAATGGTAGAGATCAACAGCTGTTTATATCCTTTAATACTTAACTAAGGATGAAGCCTTCACATCTGTCAGTATTTTCCGGTTCTATTTCCTTAAATCACAGTGGGGAGGAGGTGAAGTTTGAACCCCTCCCAATTCCTAGGCAGGAACACAGAAATACACCCAGGATTCAAAGTAGTAATTCTAAGTAGAACTCCCCATTTCTCATGCTCCCAGGGTCTGCTGTTTCCCTAGAATTCTTCTTTTGCTTTATCCTGACAGACATCTTGATCATTTCCATGATAATGACTCACAACAGCACAAAGACCAAAAAGAAGGAAAGTAGGCTGGAGTCAGGAAGAGGAAGAAATGGAGAGTAACAGAGCTAGTGGCTCCTAAAAATAGGTTCTTCCAAAAGACCACAATGATAACATCTGAGGGTCAATTTGTAGGTGAGCAGGAGGCTGAGGAAGACCCTCACAGCGAAGGTGGATGGTGGTGGTTTTACTGACCTCTACCATTCTTCCTTGAGAAAGTTAAATAGAGAAAATAAAATCCTGTGGTAACAAGGTGCAGGAAATATCCAGGAAGACAAAAGGATTTGGAGACATTTATTTAACTTTGCTTTGGTCATCAGTGCCATATACATGTTGGAACTTTATAAAGATAATTTTTCCATTCATCCATCTAACAACTTAAAAAGCACTATGACTAGATTTAGGGCAGGAGGAATATTTTTATGAATTAGACATAGTACAGAACTTAAGGAGTTTATATTGTAATGGGTGTAAAATATAGTATCTGAGCTGGACCTCAAAGAATATATGAGAACTCTAGACAAAGAAGTGGATGATTACAGAAGGAGAGAACCACATGGATAAAACCAGAGAGGCAAGAAGCAGTCCATTTCTGGAAGAATGAAAAGCATTCTGGGTGGTTAAAGTGAACTAGATAGCGTTGGGTGCTTATTAAAAGTGCAGATTCATGGCTCGGTGCCTGTGGCTCAAGCGGCTAAGGCGCCAGCCACATACACCTAAGGTAGCGGGTTTGAATCCCCAGCCCGGGCCCGCCAAACAATAATGATGGCTGCAACCAAAAAATGGCCAGGCGTTGTGGCGGGCGCCTGTAGTCCCAGCTACTTGGGAGGCTGAGGCAGGAGACTCGCTTGAGCCCAGGAGTTGGAGGTTGCTGTGAGCGTGATGCCATGGCATTCTACCCAGGGGGATAGCTTGAGGCTCCGTCTCAAAAAAAAAAAAAAAAAAGTGCAGATTCATGAGTAACTCAAACAACTCAATTAAAAAATGGGCAAAAGATCTAAATTGACATTTCTCAAAAGAAGACATACAAATGGCCAACAAGTATATGAATGGATATAGAAAATATGGTATATATAAACAATGAAATACTATTCAGCCTTAAAAAAAAGAATCAAATTCTGTTATTTGCAAAAACATGGATAAACCTGGAGGGCATTATGTTAAGCAAAATAAGCTTGGCACAGAAAGACAAATACTGCATGATCTCACTTATATATGGAATCTAAAAAGGTGGTTTCATAGAAGTAAAGAGTAGATTGGTAACTACTATGGACTGAGAGAGGGGGTGGGGCTCAAGAGATCTTCGTCCCAGGATACAAAATTTCAGTTAGATGGGGGTAATAAATTCAAGTGATTAATGGTGATAATAGTTAAAAAAAGTGCAGGTTCTTGGGCATCCCCAAGAGATACTGATATAGTTGTTAAGGGAGACAATCAAGGAATTACATTTTGAACCGAAAGCCTACGTAATTCTGATAAACAAAAATTTGACAACTGTAATTTAAAAGATACTAATGGTGTCCCATAAAAAAAAGAAAAAAGTACCGGGGTCAAGTTAGAAAACACCACATACTAAAGTATTCTTTTCCTGAAAATTCATAATGTACACTGGCATATTAAAAGTCCTGCAGTAAAGAAGTCAATTTCACTTGGCATTTCTTAAACTTATTTTTCCATGGGTGAAAAAAACCCCACAGAACTTCATTAAGCGCTCTCAAAATAATAGAGCGTTAAGGAGCACAAGATGGGTAGAACTGAAACAGAATTCTAATCAGGTGTCACATGGGCATGTGAATATGAAGGCGTCCATTGATTTCCTCCAAGCAAAGCCTAAAACCATCTATGATGTCCTGTTTTCCAAGCTGACAGTCAGAAGCTTCCTCCCTCTCAAGTAACACACCATGCAAGGCAGGAGAGGAGTGCCCAGAGTTCAAAGCATTCAGGAGCAGACCTGAGGGGAAGGACAGAGAGGACGTATCCCTGCTCACATTTATTTTCCTTTATTGCTATCATATCTTTAGTACAGAGCATTGACAGTTGCTTGAAAGGCTTCTAGAAAAGAACAAGTCCTCCCATCTCCAAATGTAGCCGCAGACAGTTGATGAAAATGCAAAAGCCATGAACCTAAGAAATCCCAGGTGCTTAATAGATGCCCAAGGGAACTTCTGAAACCTGCCTTCTTCCTTCTACACCGTGAACTGAGGGGACGTGCCCTACCACACACCCCACCTCTTTCCTGTTAACAAGGGGCAGGGCTGAGAGCACGAGGGAGCTGGACAAGCCAAGGCAACACCAGCATGCTGATGTTTCACTATGTGTGCTGAATATTTCAAGATGTACATATTGCACCTATTAATTTATACACTTTTTTTCTGGTATAAACTTAATTACTTTCATACACTCTCTCTCAACTTTCCATAGGCCACATGGGGACACCCCTCCCCCATATCTAGAGGTGATTTCAACAGGGTGTTTCAAATAATCTTTTTGTGCTCCAGCCATTTCAGAGCTTTGTGACAGTCCTTTCCAATGGCATGAGTATTTATTCAATCATTCCACAAACATTCCCTGTTTACAAAGGTTCTAGGGCTATGTGGTAAGCACTGGAGATATAATAGTGGGAGCAGGAGATTGCTCAATCCCACTGAGCTTAGGGCATTAAACACTGAATTATAATTCAGCCTATCACTGCATGGGAAATCCAACGACCAGCAGCATAAAGAAATATAAGAGGTAGAAAAGATTCGGTCCTTCAGTCCTTCTCCTTAAAGCCTTTCACTGTCTATAGCACAAAGCAAACAGAATGATTTGCATTTCTTGCATTTCAAGTGTCCCTCTGGGTCTAGTAGCTATGCAAAGGTCAGAGTTAACAGCACAGCCTGGAATTAATAACCTATGACTAGGAGAGGGAGGAGAATGCCAGAATCTTTTTCCTTCAGAGTCTAAACCCCCTATTTGTTTCATCCCAAAACAAATACTTAAATTCTCGCACTGGGATTTCTTTTTTTTTTTTTTTTTTTTATTGTTGGGGACTCATTGAGGGTACAAGATGCGCCACACACTGAGACCCCACCCCCCTCTTCCTTTCCTCTCTCAGCTTTTCCTTTCCCCCATCCCCCTCCCTCCTTCTCTTTCTCTTTGCTCTTCCCTTTCCCCACCTCCCACCATGTCATTAATTGTCATTAATTGTCCTTATATCAAAATTGAATACATAGGATTCATGCTTCTCCATTTCTGTGATGCTTTACTAAGAATAATGTGTTCCACTTCCATCCAGGTTAATACAAATGCTTGTCATACTTAATTACTAGAGAAATGCAAATCAAAACCACCCTGAGATATCATCTAATCCCAGTGAGAATGGCCCACATCACAAAATCTCAAAACTGCACATGCTGGTCCAGATGTGGAGAGAAAGGAACACTTTTACACTGCTGGTGGGACTGCAAACTAATACAATCTTTTTGGAAGGAAATATGGAGAACCCTCAACGAACTCAAGCTAGACCTCCTGTTTGATCCTGCAATCCCATTACTGGGCATCTACCCAGAAGGAAAAAAAACCTTTTATCATAAGGACACTTGTACTAGACTGTTTACTGCAGCTCAATTTACAATAGCCAAAATGTGGAAACAGCCTCAATGCCACTCAACCCAGGAATGGACTAACAAACTGTGGTACACGTATACCATGGAACATTATTCAGCCATAAAAAAAATGGAGACTTTACAGCACTGGGATTTCTTAATCCCAAGATGAATACTAGTAACTGCATGGGAGTCAATATAACTTTAACTTGTCAATTAGCCAAAAAGAAAAATTTTACCAGGTTAAGTTTGGAATCTGGTCCTGAGGAAGCCAACACGACCAAACCTCACGGTTCACCAGCTCAGTGTTCCACAGCCTGTGCTATGTTTACCACTGGGATCCACAAAATAAATACAAATGGTCTAGAAGTGATTTTTCTTTTATTTCAATGAGGTTCTTAGCTATGGAGAAAGAAATCGGAGGTGTATGCATGACGAATTTAGGGAAACATTGACATGTATGTTTTCCAGCAGTGGAAGCGGTTGGTGAAAAAAAATAAAAACACAGGAACTGGTCACGGACTTACCCACACATGTTGGAAATATGTCCTCATTGTTGATCTGAACCTCGATCCAATCCATAAGAAGGTTCATGTACTGGGGAGCTGGCAATGCTGTTGGCTTCTTATACTTGAGGTCATCCTGCCACCGGTACTCATATTTGGGGCCCCCTGACATCACAGGGCAGGTCCGCTCAGTGCAGAACTCACAGATGGTACCATAGATGAGGTTGATCCTATTGAAGAAGTCCACCACGTGCACCGCCACCCAGTCATTCTGGTCCTCCCCACTGGGCAGCTGCACGGCTGCCTTCAGGTCCACACCCGAGTTGAGGGACGCCTGAGCCCGTTTGTGCAGCTCAAACCTCTGTGTACCGGGTTCAAATTTCCTCTTAGGCCGGAAGGTCTTGTCCTTGTTAAATACCTGCTTCAGGGCTATGGACATGGTCTTCTTCTTTGCTTCCTCTCTTCTGCAGGAAGCAAAAAGGCACCTGGAACTTGCCAGTGAGAGATCGCAGCCCAACAGAGTTTTCCACTGCCAGCCCTCGGACCCCAGTCTTGTACTCTACAGCTTCTAATCTCTTTTAGACAGCCCCTTCCACCTTCCTTTTGAATGATTTCCAAGGGAACTTCATGTTCCTTCCTAAAGGTAGAAGAGAAAGGGGAACTGGTGAGTGCCAGTCTGCATTTAACAAATGACAAAGGCTTGAACCTGTTTCCTTACTATGTCCACTTCCATCCAGGTATAGGGACATGACGTCAAGCCACTTCCCTGTGACTTGGTACTGATGATGCAAATCATGCCAATACCTAAGGAAGAAAAGGCATCACAATCTTTCTTTTTGGCTTTTGTCAAATCTCTGCTGGATCTTCTCTGTGTGATCACAGGCTCAGGGGACCTCTCCAAGGTTCTATGATGGTCAATGACAGGGCCCTATCCCACATGTGCTCATTTTAGAATCCCCCCACTACCCATATGGAGTCAGCATGGGGCCACTCTCTCTCTCCTCCCAGATATAACTTACGGGAGGTGGGTGGCCACTACACTAAGCTGGATAGTAAGAATGTCTCTCCTGAGAATTTACAATCAGGACCCACTCTTTCTTGGGCGTTACCTGTGAGAGGTGATGAAAACTAGATCTGGTGGAACCCTGTTTGGACCATGTGTAGTGGAGATGGGACAGCTGGTCTGCAGAGCCAATGTGGGAGAAAGAAGAAAGAGGAGGTGGCAGTGGCTGTTGATATTTAGAGAAACAGAGGGAAGAGTCCAAGAGGCCTCAAGGAGAGGAAGACAAGAAAAAAACAGAGAGTGAGAATGGAAGAGCGGCTTCTGGCTTCTTTAGTTCCTGATAATCTTCTAGAAACTGGTTCCAATTCCTCTTAAAGCCCAGCTGTGCCTCCCATCTATTGGGATCCATTCTTTTTACCTGAATTAGCCAAATAAATCCCTTATTTTATGTCAGCTAACTCAAGTGAGTTCTATTTCTTTCCAAGGATGCTTAACCATGACAGTTTGTCACCCCTAAAATGCGCCATCCTTTTTATCCTTCATATCACACTTTATCACACTGCACATTGAAGCAGGGCCATCCAATAGCATTTTCTGTGCTAATACAGATATTCTATGTCTATCCTGTCCAGTAGGGTAACCCATTAGCTATCAAGCACTTCAAATGTGGCTAGTGTGACTGAGGAACTGGATTTTATATCTTATTTAATTTCAATTAATTTAATTAAATGGCCACATGTGGCTAGTGGCCACTGTATTGAACAGGACACCTTTAAAGACGTCAGTACTCTTCTCTTCACTATCTTATTGACCTTATGGATTTATAGTTGGTATAATAGGTTTACAGTGGGTATTCTTTCCCTTAGATCTCCAGGAGATAAAATTACTTGCATAATGAAGTCCCATAGCAAGGGGTACAGTTGGTATTAAAATCCAGTTTGTTGACTCTTAGCAATTGCTTTTTCCATGTGGCCTTATATTTTTAAGTGATGGCCTTTGACCTGTCTTTCCTGCTGCTTCATGAAACTCCTTTACCCAGAACTTCTATCCACATATTCTCCAAGGACTGCTATAATAGATTGGCTGGAAGTGAAAGCTGTGTCCTATGGCCTTCAAATAGAGAAGAGATAACTGACTCACCATAGGTCAAGTCCTAACAAAGACAGCCAACAGCCATGGCCTGACTCAGACTAGACTATCATGAAATCTGTTAAAATGGACTTGGACTACCATCTCATAGAACTGCTTTACCCCACCTAGAAAGGGTTCTTCCAGTTCACACTTGAACATGGCTTAATGATGTTCATGTTATAAAAACAAAAACATGTACCTGAGACATCCCAACTGCCTCTTACAGACTCTGCTCTTTGCTCAGAACTGCTCATCTTGCAGTTGAGAGCCTCTCTCCTCCCACTGCCTGCAGTCTCTGCCAACTCAATTCCTCCCTACTAACGCCACCCTCTTCCTAATAGGCTTTCAGTGAAATGCCGTATCTGTGACACGATTATTTTCCCTCCTCACATGACATTGAGCACACACCCTCCCCACAAAGAGACCCATGTGGAAAAGCATCACATGACACTTTCAGCCTGAGACTGCCTATGAAATCACACTCCTGGGTACTTCGGAATGTCACCTAAAAGGATCTCAGCACACAAGCTCTACAAACTCTAGGGAAAGAAGAAAGCCATTTCTTTTTCAAAATAATACCTTCCCAAAGGGTTAGCCTGCCTGAAAAGAAGCTTATAAGAAAATTGAGGGCTTTAAAAGGGCATTTCCAAAATAAAAGTATGAGCTGGAGGTTGGGAAGACAGAGAAAGAATCATAAGGGCTTTAAAAAAAAAAAAAGACAATAATCCCTCTACATTTTAAATGTTAATTGCTCACAGTAAAGCCATAAACACCCAACAGCTGCCCCCTCATGTCTTGAGCAAATAAGACTTGCTGTTCTGTATATTCTGATAATGAGGGCACCATCAATTCCCACATTCCTCAGAGCAACCTTCTTTCATCACCTTACATGACCCTTAGAACCACCAATTCTGTTGTTTCCAGTGGCCCAGAGTGGCTGTTTGCATGGAAACCAATGCAAACACCTTTAGCAAGTACATCTGGCCTCTGACGGGAACATGTGAATGAGACAAAAATCACAGCAAATTGCAGTATGGCGATACCTTAAAGAACTAAAAGTAGACCTACCTTTTGACCCAGCAATCCCTCTACTAGGTATTTACCCAAAGGAAAAAAAGACTTTATAAAACAGACACTTGTACTCAAATGTTTATAGCAGCATAATTCACAATTGCAAAGCTGTAGAAAGAACCCAATACATTAATGGATGAATACATTGTGGTAAAGGTATATCACGTATATCATGGAATACTATTCAACCGTAAAAAGATGGTGGTTTAGTAACTTTCATAACAACCTGGATGGAATTAGAAACAATTCTCTTCAGTGAAGTATTGCAAGAACGGAAAAACAAACACTACACGTACTCAATATGAAACTGGAACTAGTTGGTCAACTCTCAAGTACGTATGTGAAAGCAAAAGGAAATTAAGTAGATGGGAAGGAAGAGGAAAGGTAAGGTGAATTCATAGCTTACTGGTGCAGTGCACATATTCTGGGTGAAGAGCACACTTACAAATTTGATTTAAAATGTATACAAGAAAATTACATAACCAAAATATGTATACCCATGTAATATTCTGAAATAAAATAATAAAAATCACAGCAAATCCTCCCCATCATAAAGTCTGGAAGGGACTGGCACTCCCAAATAGTTTAGTATTAACTTTGGGGATTTTTCTTCCAGAAATACTTAAATAACAAACTTCAAGATACCAATCTCTTGAATTAGATGGGCATTTTCCCAAAATCTTAAAACCAACCTCTTTTTTTGTCCCGAGTTCACAGGTTTCCCTGAGAAAGGAAGCATCTCTGGAGGGTCGTCTCTCAACCAAGTCTCTTCACGCTGCTGTTACCTACCGTTTGTTAAACACGTGCCCCCGATCCTTTATATCTAACATCAACATTTCTGATTCTCCCACCACACTTTGTACAATGGAAGTTTTAGAACCATCTTATATACAAAAATTTGAGATTGAACTAGATAAAATAATTTTCCAGGAATCACAAAGTTAGTAGCTGGTTAGGCTAAATTTTGAACCTGTATCTCTCTGGCACTGAAACATAGAATTTGGGGGGAGGGGCACTCTGTTGCCCTTGATAGAGTGCTGTGGTGTCAGAGCTCGAGGCAACCTCAAACTCTTGGGCTTAAGCTATTTTCTTGCCTCAGCCTCCCAAGTAGCCGGGACTACAGGTGCCTGCCACAACGCCCGGCTATTTTTTGTTGCAGCTGTTGTTGTTTAGCTGGCCCAGGCTGGGTTCAAACCCCATTACCTGGGTGTATATGGCCAGCGCTGTAACCACTGTGCTACTGGCGCTAAGCCATAGAACATTTTTTTTCTCTCTAAAGCTATTTTAGTTTTTATTATTATTATTTGCAGTTTTTGACCAGGGCCAGGTTTGAACCCACCACCTCCAGTATATGGGGCTGGGATCCTACTCTTTGAGCCACAGGCACCATCCACTAAAGCTATTTTAAAATCTCATGAACCTTTTTATGTTTTCAAAGCTGCTGTACATGTACATTTCAAAGTGCCTCACAAGACTACAAAGGAATCTAGAACAGGTGGGATCAGTGTCTTCATTTCACAGTCCAGAAAACAGCAACTCTGATCTCCTGGTGTTTGGTCCAAACTTGTTAATCATTCTGACACAGATACGAGGACGTGTCTTTGGGGGAAACTTTTTACCTAAAGTGAACTCTATTTAAGAAGGGCTAGGTCTGTTATGTGTATAAAGACAAAGGCAAACCAGGATGGATGATAACAGATCTGCCATGCCACTGGATGAGTGAACAAAGAGGCACCCATCTGTCTTTCCCAAGTGCCATGTGCCTTCTTGGCACAGGTACCCAAAAGAGTTTTGAAATTAAAAAGGAAAAGTAAATCCACCTGGCCTTACTTTTTCAACCCAGAGCCCCACTGGGACGCCTGCCCATAATTTGTACTGTCAGCTAATTCAATGGTCAGAGCAGTGCTTATCCAATGCTAACGCGAGATCTTGTTAAAATGCAGGTTCTACTTCAACTGCTCTGGGGTGACACCTAAGAGTCTGCTTTGCTAATAAGCTCCCAGATGATGCTAAATCTACTGGTCCATGGGTAACACTTTAAGTATCAAGGCCTGATTTAAGTATCAAGGCACCTGAGCTTGTTAGAAATGCTGACTTTCAGGTTTTACCACAGACCTAGTAGAATCTAAATCTGCATTTTAACAAAATCTCAAGAGAAGTATGTGCTTTGAGGAGCACTGGGTTGGAGCACTGCCTAGCTGGCCAAGTGAAGGAATGAATAAATAAACTCCCATTTGTTGTTTTGTCGACAGTTTGTTTCATAAACAGTGTCTTCAATTGAATGGGTTTGGGAAAAAGAATAAGAACAGATTCACTGTTTTGATTACAATTGCTTTGACAAATGGTAACAATGACCAGGTCTTTTGATCTGGATTGACTTGGATGGCCCAGCACCCAGCACCTAGGAGGTCCCCAGTGAATACCTCTTTATA